AATTGTCCTAGACAACAATCGGTTCACTGGACATTGCATTTTTGCATTCGAGTTTTCCTCACGGTTCTTATTGTTCTCCGGGGCTGTTTTTTAATGGACAAGTGGGGGGCGGAAATTTAACCAGCAAGTTCATGATGCAGGTGCTACCTTATTGCAATTTGACTTCCCATAATTTTACTGTACCGCAGTGTGATGTGTTGAATTTGCAGGGATGAGGTTGACATTGCAATTTGACCCTTGCCCTATACTGCTTTGGCCAATTTTTGTTTTGATATTTTTAAATTTAACGAAGTGTCTTGCATCACTTTGCTTACGAGGGTTGGTTCATGTGTTGTGAAATTATTTCAAATGGATGCAATGGAGTTTCATCAATTTCAAATTTTTTTTACTCGCATAGCCCCACCATTTGGCAACACTTCAGTGCTTTTAATGCAACGCAGTATCCGCCGATTTTAATTCTCTTTTTTTTTCATGCAATAGATCCTTGGATCGAAACAGTGCCATAAATTGATGATATCATTATAATTGATCAAGCTGCTCTTGGACGACGAAAATGAGGCTGCTGTTGTCCTCAAAATTAACGGTGAACAGCCAGAATAAAACACAGTACGGTGCCATGCATTTTTGCGAATGCTTTTTTTTTTTTTTTTATAAAACGTGGACCTCAGAAAAAATGTCTGTGACTTATAATTCCCGCTGTACCCGACTGTCAAGAATGATCTGATTTTGAGAACAGGAACAGCCTCAAGAGGAGAATATAGTGGGGTCTTGGCTGGAAAGAAACACTGTGTATATTGGCACCAACAAACTTCGGTGGATTCAAAGAGACACCTTTCACAATGTCTATTCTAGCTGAACCCCGTCTTATTTTTGCATTTATGTTTCTGCTTTTTGCGTGGAAATTGGCCAATTCAGAGTAATAATTTCAACTTTGTTTTGCAACTAATGTGCAGTCTTTCCATGAGAAAAATGTTGAAAAGTTCAAAGTAAAGATCAATCTGTAGTCTCATATCAATGAGCATTACGAAAACATTCATTTTTCAAACGAACAAATGAGAGAATGGCTAAAACCCAACAGTGTGTCACATTTTTTTTTTTTCAAGTCTCTGCCTATAATGTTGGAACAGTTGTTTTATAACGATTTTTTGTCGTTTCAATCAGCAAAGGTATTTCACAGCTGGTCCCAATAATGGCCTTGTATTGTGATGAGATTTCACTGTTTGTAAATTTATAGACAGTTGTAAACATTTATTTTAATTAAAAACTAACTTTTCCCAAATTCACCATTTTCTTGAAACAATAACTCCAAATCTGCGTTAGATGATGGAAACGTGCTAATAATGCAAATTTCATTCAAAACGCATAGAAACAATAAGCATTTGATTTGAGTTCAGGTTTTATTTTTAATAAATGTGGATCCTCCTGAATAGAATTGGGAAATACGTCTCGTCGTTTCTGTTTATTTATTCATTTATTTCTATTTTTTGCCCCCGAAATGACAGCGAAACCCAGTGCCTTTAATTATCACCAGACCCCAGAAAAAAAAGAAACCCTTGGACCTACTGCTGCGGCACTATTATACATATTAAGATAGGGGGCACAGACCTAGATTTTGTTGCATTTCAGGATCTCTAGTTTTTCGAAGTTTTTCCATGAGAAAAATGTTGAAAAGTTTGAAGTGAAGATTGATCAGTAATCTCATATTTTTTGAGCAATACGAAAGCATTTTTTTTCAATCGCACAACTAAGAGAATATAGACGTCACTTCACTTGATGAACCAACTTCTTCAAGTCAAAGATTTTTCTGTTTTTCTTTCAGGAACACATCGGATTTGTGGCAGCAGTAATCCGAGTCAAGTGTTTCATCAACTGGGTTGCAAAGGAAATTCAGCAATGGCTGCATCCCGTGGAGCTGGCAGTTGTCCTTTACGTGCGTATCGTCTCTCATAATAGTCCTCAAAAGTCCCGTATTTTTGAGCTGGTCAAAGAACATCCTCCAACTGGACCAAACGATCACCGTGTCCCGGTACTTGGAAATCACCTCCAGACTTTGCTGAATGTAAGTGTCAATATGCTTGTTGAGCGGAAGCAATTTGCTCTGCAACGTTTCCGGAAGAATCCAGATGATGGTCTCTATTTTCCAGAATGTGATGAGGTGGTTTAGTAGTCGATCGAGTCTTTCTTTGTGTATTTCAAGTTTCACTGGTATTGGAAGATGTAGCAGGTCAAAGTACCGGTCTTTGTGGGATGTCAAATCCTTCGGTAAACGGACAAACCACGCTGCACCTCCAAACAAGACGATTGGTGTACCTTCAGGAAGCTTAAAAAGAATCCGAGTACGTGAGACAGTTTTAGACAATCATTATTTAACCTTCATTCAATTGTCTTATATCTTCTGAAGATTGTGCATAAATAATCAAATGTTATCTCTCTGCAAATACTTTGTTGTTGAACGTACTGTAAAAATAATCCTTGAATTCAATGATCGATTATGTTGAACACTTTCAAAGTACAGTACTGATGTATATACGAGGGTTCTAACGAAATTTCTTGGAATATAAATTGAAATGGCATATAATTGAGCTGAAAAACAATTAAATTTTCATGGAAAACATATTCATTGGCACAAGAAAAGAATCCGCCATTTTCGACACATTTTTTTGCATATGTCACCCTGGCAGAGTTCCGCTCTCCATCACTCAAAAGATGAGGTGCCCTTCCTGCAAACTTTGTTCTTGTAGCCTAGTCTTCCCCTCAGAATTATAACAGTACATTTCCTGTATAACACTAGGAAAGCTTTTTTATTGTGTATTAAAAAATGGTTTTTTGTTATCCTCGAATGACAACGACGTCATTGGGACCATCAAAAATTTATCCATGCAATGAAACATTCATTTAATTCGTCGTGAAGAAACTCCGAATTGTGGTTGTTGCTAGGCTAGGACTGGACGAAAACATTCGGTGTAGAGGGATTATTCGTTAAAACGAGAATCACTGTGACTATATATTCTGCTGTAATTTGTTCAGTTGCTTGACATGTGGAAAAACAAAGACATCTTCAGCATGCGTTATTACAAACACAATCAGAATTCTCATATGATGGAAAAATATATGTATATTTTTCATGCTATGACCGTATATAAGAGGGTTTTCCCACTTATGATTGACTTCGCTGGGTATTTCTAGACTGAAAACCACTTTGAAAGAATAGAAAAAAAATTTCATTTGTTTGTCTAGCATGAAAAATATGCAACAGCTTGTTACATGGATGGAAAAACCCTTGCAAAGACTGGAAATTTTTCACTTATTGTCTTTCAATAAGTCTAAAAATGTTCACAAAAATCGGAAAAAAATCCCAGAACCTTACTATATAGGATGGGCTGCATGTTTTTTTTTTTTTTGGAAATTGGTACCGAATCTATTAGAAATGCCGAAGATGAATTTTAAGTGAGACAACCCTCGTAAATGCGTACAGTAATCTATGTGATGGTAGCACTTGTTCGGGAATTGAATAAAAATGTATAGCTTACTTGTACTGTATACACTGTACCTTTGTGTAGGGGTTGAAGAAAGGATTCAGAAGGTAGTCGATGGTCGTGTTCGAGTCTGCATCATGCCAATGCATTTTGATCACCATTCTAAAATCATGGCAATTGTCCTTGCAATCCAATGTGAGATTGAAGAACTTTGCCAGGGCCATGGCCTTTATCCGAATGGTCGAGTCTCCCATAAAGAAGAACTTGTTGTTGAGCTTGTTTGCGAATCTGCGCTTGAGACACGATCCCGAGTCCATTTGCGGGAAAATCTTGAGTTTGCAATGTGACAATTCCCACTTGAGATCACTTTTCAAGCTGCCGTTGCTTTGAAACACACTGAGGCATTTTTCGATTTCGTCGACTCGAGTATTGCGATATTTGAAGATTCTCCAGGGAGATGTAAAATAGGCGAATGACAGTAGTATCTTGATACCCAATGACACCAACAGCAGTTTCCTTCTTTCCATTATTTTCAACATATTCATCGTTTCGAATACCTTCAGAATATTTTTTTTTATCAATCCTGATAAATTCTGTGTGGATGTGTATAAAACCCTGGAGCTTAAACTTGCTTTTTCAGCAGTGACTTGATTATCAGTACAGTTTGCGTGTGTTCTGTAAATAGAAGAGATCACTATGAGATTTGTCTCAGTTGTGTACCTTTTAATCACCAAAAACTGTAACATATATAACATTGTTGTTCACTGATGTAACACGGGATTTTCTATCTACCCTTTTTATTGGTCTGTTGGTGCCAAGAGCACATATTCCAGGGGTTTTTCTCAATCCATAACACTGTCAATTCACAAACAAGGAATCACCCGGAATGAAACACCACACCAGCAGATTTGTACAAAATGCATCAGGTGAAGGGAATAATAATGCTTCTCGAGCTTTTCAGAACCACAAGAGAGAAGAATCATGGAGGGGATATCTCTCTTCTAATTTTGAGCTGCTGCTGTAGGAACTGATGGTTTCGTCTTCTTGTTGCTCCATTACACGTTGACAACAGGACACGATGCACACATGACGCAGTGAGACACAGAAGGGAATGTAACGTGGGGGTGCTGTCAACTCAGCGAGTATAATGTGGCATTTTGGAATGCTCGCTGAAATTGAAGGAAAACACGAGGGCATTATGGTGGAGGGGGAGAGTTCATCGATGCTTGATACGATGAGAATTAAGGGCGGTTGGTGCATTCGAGCAGTGTTTGTCCTGAAAGTTTTCCCATTTTTCTTCTTTTCGGCGCACTATCATTTCACTGTTGTTCTGTAACCATTTACAGTGGACCCAAGTCCAGTAATGCACGTCTGTTTATCATCCTTGATGATTTGTCATCTGTTCAGATGATGCACGAGTTATTGTGATTATGCCTATATAGCGTTTGACACCTCTATATACTGTATAACCGGGGAGAAAATCAAGTTGCATGCATATAGATATACCCAGCGACATGATCGATGATGAATACCGACAGGAAAATAAATGAGCCCAGGAAACCCAACCGAGGCGAAACCCAATGGGAAACACAAAAACCCAAGATGCAGGAAATTGTCCTAGACAACAATCGGTTCACGCTGGACATTGCATTTTTGCATTCGAGTTTCCCTCACGGTTCTTATTGCTGTTCTCCGGGGCTGTTTTTTAATGGACAAGTGGGGGGCGGAAATTTAACCAGCAAGTTCATGATGCAGGTGCTATACCTTATTGCAATTTGACTTCCCATAATTTGACTGTCCCGCAATGTGATGGTTGATTTTGCAGGGATGAGGTTGACATTGCAATTTGACCCTTGCCCTACTGCTTTGGCCAATTATTTTTTGCATTTTTATACTGATATTTTAAAATTTAACGAAGTGCTGTCTCGCATCACTTTGTTTACACGGGTTGGTTCATGTGTTGTGAAATTTTTTTCAAATAGATCCAATGGAGTTTCAACAATTTCAAATTTTTTTTACTCGCATAGCCCCACCATTTGGCAACACTTCAGTGCTTTTAATGCAACGCAGTCTCCGTCGATTTTAATTCTCTTTTTTTTCATGCAATAAATCCGAGGATCGAAACAGTGCCATAAATTGATAATTGCGTTAGTAGATCAAGCTGCTCTTGGACGACAAAAATGAAGCTGTCGCTGTCCTCAAAATGAACGGTGAACAGCCAGAGAATAAAACACAGTACGGTGCCATGCATTTTTTGATACCATTTTTTTGGGATAAAATTTGGACCTTAAAAAAAATTTCTGAGACTTGATTCTTGCTGTACTCGACTGTCAAGAATGATCTGATTTTGAGAACAGGAACTGCCTCATTAGGAGAATATAGTGGGGTCTTGGCTGGAAAAAAACGCTGTATACATTGGCACTAACAAACTTTGGTGGATTCGAAGAGACACCTCCCAAAATGTCTATCCTAACTGAACCCCGTCTTATTTTTGCAGTATTTACATACAAATGCTGAGAAGTGGAAAGGTGAACGCTTGAACCTCTGCAACTGAAACCTCCGCTTGTGGGATTTTTTTCAATTCCCTATCTGAATTCTTTTAAAATGAATGCATTGAAGCACCAAGATCGAAGGGCTTTTCTCCCCTCAAACCTCCATGACTCGAATTTTATGGAAGCACTTTGCCAATTATTTTTGTAACCCAGGAAAGAGAAAAGCGATAAAAAATTAAATCGATGCTTTTTAAAAGGAAGTGAAAGGATATTTGGGAATGTAACTCTCGCCTCGATTGTTTTTTCTGTTCTTCTGAGATTCAGATGAAAAAGGTTGAACTACAGCGGTTTGAAATCAACTTTACTGCTGGGGACTATCTGAGTTATGACTTGCTCAAACTTTCCCTGCGATTCTTAGTCAAAAATAAGCCGTGGCAGTAGAAGATTTGCATTTTTTTTACGCAGAGGATACCTTTGATTTCCTTCCATTTTTCAGGCTAAGCACAAATCTTTGTTCAGAAATGACCAAAAAATGTATTTAAAAAATTATCTCACTCCTTCAAACTATCCTACATTGCTTTGACTCAATTTTCATCTACCGACGTGTGTAAAAGTCCCCGAAAAATATGTTTTAGTGGTTTAGTAAAGCGAGAATCGCCTTGTATTTCCCATTCATCTCTACCGAATTTTCTCTCGGATTAACTACGATGTTTTCTTCATTCATAGAACGTCTCTGTTGTTCGAACTCGATCACTTTTCGCTGTGAAGTAACTTCTCTGACACCGAATGTTGAGAATTTTTTTATGGTTTGCGCGCGACGTGGTGCTATATAATGTGAAAAAAATCTCAGAGTAACTTACGAGGAAAAATTTCCGCTTTTTTTGTGACGGAGATGTGGTCAGAGGCGGGCTGAAATCTTGCTGTATTTTGTAACAATTACCCCATTTTTAGTTTAACTTCGTGAAACATCACGAAACTTCAGAGTTAATCCAAGAAATCCGTTCTGTTTTAATTCGTTGAAGAAGTTGTACAACTTTTACGACAGCTAGCACGAAAAATGTGCCTTGATGTAGAGCGAAAGAACTGACGCCGTCCTTGAACTTTTGGCGAGCTTTGACGAGACCGATTCAGATGTGGAAGTTGTTTCTAATCGCCATAATCATTCGGTGTAACTTATGCAGAGGAGCATTTGACGTTTTTTTTTTTCATAATTATTTTTCATCGATGGGCTGTACTATAATAGAGATCACCCTCTATCCAGTCTATAAGAAAGAAAAACTTTTGCAGAAATCGGATTCCGTCCTTCTCGCGTTGATTTCGCGTTCGAATGAAGCGATGACTCGATTTTGACGCTGTGTTCGTGTGAAGAATTTCCCATCTGCGCACTTCAAAGAGATTTAGATTTTGACGCTCAGGAATCTTCGACTTAGTTCATCATTATGCAGATGTCGCCCGTTTTTTCAAGTTTTATTGGGTCTTTGTGAGGTTTAAAATTGATCAGATTACTCCAGGTTAGGTTAGTTTATGATAGTTAGAATATATTTTTAACCAAAATAAACTAACCTAACCTAACTTTACCTAACCGCCCCCCAAAGTCCGTTTATGTTTTCTGTGGGATTCTGCTGAAACTGACTTCGGAGGCGGTTAGGTAAAGTTAGTTTATTTTGGTTAAAAATATATTTTAACTATCATAAACTAACCTAACCTAACTTTACCTAACCGCCTCCAAAGTCGGTTTCTGCAGAATGCCAAGGAATGGATGAAAAGTTGCTTGTAATTTGTTGTGATTATCAACTCGCGTCGTAATGCAGAGGACTAGAGGAGTACAGTACTGTAGATGTGAGTCTGGCCAGTGTTGCTGGAGAAGAGGGTTTAAACTATAGGAGATTCATTTTGCCGGTAGATGTCACGTTTGCATGACGCGCGTGGATTTTTTGGTGGGTCACCTCTTGTGTACAAGTGCCCTTGAATGAGGTTACAGCATGCTGAACTTGAAGGCAAAAGTTCATTTGCGCAATTAGTCTGTTACTTTCTTTCAGAACACATCAAGGTACACTTGTTTTATTGCTTTTCTCTTTCATGTGTCAAACAATAGCTGCAAGGCCTCAGAAAATTTTATTTACAGGGGGTTTGAGAGGAGAAACATTCAAGTTAGGGAGGTTTTTAATGCACTGTTTCCAAGGGAATTCAGATGGGGACTTGAAAAAAAAATTCGACTTTGGAAGGTTGAACTGTATATCCTCACTTGGCAGATAGAACAAGGGACCATCAACAAGTCTCCTGATGAGTACCGGTACCTGAACGCCACCTTCCTGTCCCACGTCCTAGTCGTCTGGGGCCGGTCCCGGTACTGGTTGTTACACCTGTTCAACTAACTGAGTGAGTTGTATGCCAGTCTCTTTTTGGTCCAGCAGGCCACCAGTGGCGTGGACTCGAATCTGGCCTCGAACTGGCCTCAGTGCGACATTCCTCCGGGCCAGCTAACTGCAGTGGATTTTTTACCTCCGAATGAAGACAAGGCTGCGATTGCGGAGTCCAAAGAGGAGAAGGGCAGAACCGTGTTCAAGCATAAGATTAAGGTTTATTTTTTTTTAATCTGGTTGTTGTTTTGAATATTACTCTTGCTGTAGTTGATCACAACTTGTTTTTTGTTTTTTGCGTTGTTTAGATGACGGAAGAAGCGCATAAGAGGATGGAAGTGTGTCCAAGTCGTACAGCATCTCCGCCAAGGCGAGGATTTCTGTGACTTGACATTTTCCCGAAAGAACAGAAGCCAGTTTGAATATTTATGCGGTTGAGAATTCTTTAGTTCAGGCGAAATTCCCAAGTGCGTAGTTCTTTATTTGTACACGGTTTCTCATCTAATTTTGGAGGAAAGAAAGCTTTCGAATTATCTTTTGATTTAGACGCTGTGGACGTTTTTAGCCTGATCTTTAGTTCAGGCGAAATTCCCAAGTGCGTAGTTCTTTATTTGTACACGGTTTCTCATCTAATTTTGGAGGAAAGAAAGCTTTCGAATTATCTTTTGATTCAGACGCTGTGGACGTTTTTAGCCTGTCGGAGCCAGATTTTATTTTTTATTTTTGAAAGAAGTGTTTTGTCCAAGGACATTTTTAATGTCACTCGCAGTTCTTCTGCACAACTCGGTGGGGAATGATCTCAACTTTTCTTCTCCCCTTGCAAAAAACCTGAGACGTTTGACATGAAACTTGAGTTGCTGATCCAATTTTCAAGCAACGACGAATGAGTTTATTTTTTCATTCTCAAAAAAGGAAAACAAACTTGACTAATCGAGAAAGGTGGGACTTCTTCAAGTATTGTCACTGTCTTCAAGTCAAAGATTTTTCTTCTTTTCTTTCAGGAACACATCGGATTTGTGACAGCAGTAATCCGAGTCGAGTGTTTCATCAACTGGGTTGCACAGGAAATTCAGCAATGGCTGCATTCCGTGGAGCTGGCATTCGTCCTTCACGTGCAGACGATCTTTCATGATACTTCCGAGTCCTGCTGCGTTCTTCATTTGGTCAAAGAACATCCTCCAACTGGACCAAACGATCACATTGTCCCGGTACTTGGAAATCACATCGAGACTTTGCTGAATGTAAGTTTCAATATGCTTGTTGTACTGGGTCAATTTGCCGTGCATCGTTTCCGGAAGAATCCAGATGATGGTTTCGACTTCCCAGAACATGATGAGGTGGTTCAGTAGTCCGTTGAGTCTTTCAAATACATAAACTTTAAAATTACAATACCCTTCCACAAAGTTCAGTATCTTAGCCAGACAAACTCCTAAATTTACGAGACCACCTTCCTGCTTGGTGCGACGCGGAGGTTTGTCTTGTCAAAAACATCCATCTGGAAGCTAAAGAAGAATGATGCTCCAGATGAGGATGGAACCTCCAACAAGCCCCTTAATTCACGTGAATGACCTTACAAATACAGTATTTTCAGAATAATCTAAGAAGATAGTTCGGTGATCCAGTGATGTTGGACTTCAGTTCTACCAAATTCCCTGATTATATTTATGATCAATTTAGTGGAGAACCTGACTCACTAATACTTTTGTAACTGAAGAGTCATTGATATACTGACCTGGCAACAGGAAACAAGAAAATCTCCTCACAATAAATTGTTGGATTAGTTAGGATTAAACTTGCGACGGCAGTAAGTTTATGCAATCTAAGATTTGTAGATGTCTGAATCGGAAATTGTAAAACATCAAACTTAACTAATTTCCAACAACAATACAGTGGAATCTCAGCCTACAACCTTACAAAATTTTCAGCTAACAAACTTTTGTTTTTGGCCTCAGCTGCTCTGCTGGTTAACAAACCATAACTTGGCTTACAAGCTTTAATAAGTTCTCCAAATGCTCATAGGTCTAAAAAAAAATTCTATTCATTTTGATAGGGTTAAAATTGTAACATTTTGCCTTGTCAACAAAGATGAATATGCGATAGAGTGTCAAAAAAGTGCACAATAATGTGTCTGAATTTTAATATTATTTTTGAGCAAACATGTGCTGCATTTGAATTCAATTTTTCTTTGTTGTGACCAAAGATTGTCGAAGTGAATTGCACGTGGCTAAGATGTAAGTCTAAGACTATTTATTTTAACTCATAATTTACCACCAAATATCATGCTTTTCTTCTAATGAATTATGGACTGAAAGAACTAGAGAAGATTCCCATTCTCTAATCACTTTATCATATTTTAGAATTTCTCTGATTTTTACGCAAATTAAAATTGGTTTATGCTTAAACTTTCAACTTGTTGCTTCATCCTATTCAATGAATAAATTGTGACCAAATTTTCAGAAGAAATATTTCATAAGTCAGATATTTATCAAAAATTGGAATGGATTGAATATTGCATAATGCTAAGCTTTCCTCTGTGTGATTCAAATGAAAACTTCAGCCAAATTTCCAAGAGATTTATCAGAAATAGCACACACTTTGCATAATACTTTGCCAACAAATTTTGGAAGAATAGCAGCTGTTTTTTTGAAAAATTCATGAAAATTGATAAAATTAAAGAAATTTGAATTGTTGTTGCCCTTCAATTGACATCAAATTGAGAAGTGTTGAACCTGCTGTGTTCTCTGCTTATTTGTGTTATATTCAAAGTCAGTCAGGCATGCTGGTTTCAAGTTATCAGCTCTTGCAAATTTCTCATCTTTTATACTGTTTTTTCTCTCTCCTAGAAGAATTTTGTGGTTAGGTACGGGTTTTTTAAATTATTGAAGCCTGTTGCAATTCTTTTTCCTTTTTCCTGTTTGAAATGTAGACCATGAATGTAAGGAATTATTAATTTATCATTTTAGCTTTAAAATTGTCCATCCTGAGTCCTTGCTGGTCTGTGAATAAGTTTGTAGTACTGTATTGCACTTGAAATTTTCAAAGTGAAACCTCTGGAGAATTTCACTTTAAAAATTCTCTTGTACGGGTTTTTTACTGCAGTGAGTTCCTTGTATATTGTCTTTGGAAGATTTAATGGAGTTCAGGACTGAAGATAATTTTTAAAGATGGATTTTCTTCAATTTCTTGTGAATTTTCAAGGTTCTGGAACCAATTAACATTGTTCCTTTACTTCCTTAAGGGAAATGTGATTTGGCTTACAAACTATTTGGCTGACTTTGAAACAAGTCCTTGGTTAATTCAAACATTCGGTTCTGGGTTCACATAAAAAAAATTACGTGTTATATTAGTATAAATATATATGTCACTCTGGGGTTCTACGTCTGTATCAACCAGGTAGTTTTCCCACTATCCCTCATTTTCCGTTGGACTTCAATGCTGATGTATTAAATTGGTTCTTTCTTCGTCAAAAATTAGAAATAAGTCTAAAAAATGTATAATAAAAATTTTTCTCCCAACTTCTAGTTGTAGATAACAACATTGCAGAACAAAACCAAATAGAATCTGAGCTTTTGGTATCAAAGGAGATCAATCAGCAAAGAAAAATAGGAGTTTTGCTAGAATATGTACAGATGATGGAAAAAAGCTCTGAAAAAAATAAGCACAAAATCAGCTTGCTTTGGATTATGATGAATTACAGTGAATTTTTTATGAAATACAGTAATTTTAATTTTTGTGAATATGAAGAGCTTGAATCCTTCAAAATATATCAAAATTTTAAAAATTGAATATTTTCATTTTTTGGTGGAAGTTTAAAAAGTTTCCCCAACTCCAGCCAATTTCTGTATCTTGGGCCTGATTTTTTTTTAATAATCTCATTCAAATTACCCAAATTCATAACCAAAAACAAGCTAAATTGGTGCTTCTTGATTCAAAGTTATTTGATCATGTGTGCTCAGAGTGAAGTAAAACCTGTTCTTGTTCTGTGCTTCTTATTGAGCTTATGCTGATGTCAAAAGATCAGATTCTGTGTGGTTCTTTCTGGACATTTATTTTGTGTACCTTTACTTTGATAAAGAACACTTATTTCAATTTTGGGTGGAGAATTTTTCTCTATTTCTGATCTACAGGAGAATCAAGTAAAAATATTGCCATCTATGGGAAAACAAGGTCCGACATACGGACAATAAAGGTTGACACACCAATTGCATCTGCATCTCTATTATGCGCACTGACAAATTCTAGAAAATCATCTTCCTGAATACACTGCATACCTTTGTGTAGGGGTTGAAATATGGATTAAAATGAAAGTCTTAGGGACGCAATAAACTCCGAAGTAGAAAGGTCACATAGCAATAGAAGAAAAACTTGACCAGCGTTAAGGGGGTCGTTAGGTCACACTCCAACTTCTTAGAGCGGTCCCGGCACCGGAAATAGGCTATGGTCGAGTCTCCGATAAAGAAGAACTTGTTGTTGAGCTTATTGTTTGCGAATCTGCGCTTGAGACACGATTCCGAGTCCATTTGCGGGAAAATCTTGAGTTTGCAATGTGGCAATTCCCACTTGAGGTCACTTTTCAAGCTGCCGTTGCTTTGGAACACACTGAGGCATTTTTCGATTTCGTCGACTCCGGTATTGCGATATTTGAAGATTTTCCAGGAAGATGTAAAATATGCGAATGATGACAGTAGTATCGTGAAGCCCAATGATCCCATCAGCAGATTCCTTCTTTCCAATATTTTCGACATATTCGTTGTTTCGAATACCTTCAGAATAATTTTTTTTTTCAAGCCTGATGAATTCTGTGTGGATGTGTAAAACCCTGGAGCTCAAACTTGCTTTTTCAGCAGTGACTTGATCGTCCCTCCGTTTCGCATTATATGGGTTTTATGTAAATAGGGTAGATTATAATCAAAATTCTGTGGTTCTGATCTCTGTGAGCTTTTCCTCAATCGTGTACCGAAAAGAACTTATATAACAATGCTATTCACTGATGTAACACGGGATTTTCTATCGACTCTTTTCTGTTGGCCTGTTGGTGCCAATAACAACACATATTCAAGGGGTTTTTCTCAATCCAAAAGTTGAAATAATCCCACACTGTCAATTCACTCACAAGAAATCACCTGGAATGAAACACCATTTGTGTAAAATTCTGGTAAAAGAAATAATGATTCTCCAGTAGTTCAGAACCAAAAGAGAATGATACTTGAGGAAATATGCTTAGTGTTTATTGGTTATTGAATCTGTTGGAACTGCTTTCCTCTTCTTTTTGTGCTCCACATCTTAGGTCATCAATCCGTTCCAGGATGGATGTTGTAACATAGGGCCGTTGTAAGTTGAAACCCTATTTCCCTTGTTGTGGGTCAACGAGGTGTTGCCCTAAGTAATCAACTTTGCACCGTGAGACGACTAGATGTTGCTCACGGTTGCACCACGTTGCTTCAAGCAACCAGAACCAATAAGAAGAAAAGTTACATAAATTAATTTATTCCATGAAGTTATGAAACCTTCATGGAATAAATTCAAACTGTTACAAAATATCATGAGTAATCCTTATGAAAAGGATTCTCATGAAACACCAGACACAGCTCCAAGAAACTGGCCTTCAGGTTCATTTCCACTGGACCTGAACCTCAACATCCAACCTCATCATGATCCACACAACTGTTCCTGAAGTGACTGCAAACACTCCTGCAAGAAAAGCTTGTATTCTGTGTTCATCAAATATATTGGAAAATAAACTTCAAATTTGAGGATCAACCTCAGGCTGCAAATGGCCAATTGTCAGTGTTACTTCTTTCACTGAAACCTTGTTCTTTGTCAGGAGTCTAAGGACCCTCAGCATCCCTTAAGGTTACATTATAAAAAAATTGATTTGTTCCAGAAAAAAAATATTGAACTAAAAGTACCTTTATATTTCAACTTTTGGTCAGAAATTGCATCAATGGACACAAGACACGTTTGAAAGTGTGTATAAAACAAAAGAGATAGGGGGTATAGGGTTCTGAAATAGGGTAGGAGGAGAATGATTTTCACAACTTTCAGCACTTTTCACACCTTTTTTTTCTCATCTTCTCCTCACAACAAGAATGTTTCCTTCATTCTAACCTTCAGAAAATCCAAAATTCTCTGCTTAGTTTTTTTGCTGATCCCTAGAAATTTGAAATATTGAAATTGCCTAATTTAGTACTTTTGAGAATAAGACCCACTTAAACTAGGGTGAAAGAACATCCCAGTCACA